AGGGAAGGTGGAGTTCAGCCCCTGGCAGAGGCTGGGCTCTCAGCTGAGCTCCTGGTTTGTTTTCCAGGGCTCCCAGTGCCCAGTGAGGTGCTGGTGGCTGTGAAGCAAGGTGTCCCAGCCTTCAGAATGCTCTAGAGAACAATAGAGAAGTTCAGAATGCTCTAGAGAAACATTTGTTGAGACAAGAAAGTGTCCTCGGTGCCAAGGGAGGAGTGAGCTGGAATTCTGCTCTGTGTCGCGGTTCTGTCTGATCTCCTTGGAAATGCAGAGTTTTCTCCCTGTGAGTTTAACCCTGAATTGAATTTTTAAGCCTTCCCTTAGCCTCGGTGTGTTGCAGGAGGTAACACAGAACCAGGACAACTGCTGACTTATCAGGATGTTTTGTGTTTGGCTGAGAGGCCCAGCCTTTCATTCAGTGCAGCTGAAGCCTGGAAAAACAGAAAGCTGATAATGGAAAGCCACCAGCAGTGGCCTGTGTGTACAGGGACACCAGATGTGCCCAAATCCACCCTGATAAGGAGTGTGGGATGGGCTGGCACCTCCTCACGTGGAAACTGTTTGCCCTGTAACCCAAGCAGGCTGAATTTCTCAGGCCCAGTGACCATTGGGAAGGAGTTCCTGCCTCGCAGCACATCTGGGGTGCACAGAGCTGTGCACAGGTGATGAAATTATAAATGTGCTGCTTTCTGTCTTCTTAACAATTGGGCAGTTTGGTGTTGATGGGATTCCCTGAAACTCTAAATGGCTTTGTGCTAAGAGGGTGTGATACCAACTCCATCTCATGCTGCAGTAATTAGTCCCATCCTCTGCTAATTCAGCGAGTTTCTCTTCCTCCTGTGCCAGTCTGCAGAGCAGCTCTGTGCCCACTCTCAGACAGAGTGCTCCCTGCTAACACGAAAAATTCGAGGAGGTAAAACGGCTTTTCTTCCTGAAAAAGCTTTTAGTTCTTCCTGTGCGTCTTTGGGGCAGCTATTTTTTCCCTTTTTACAGAAGTTTTGATCACTTGCCCAGTTTTATTTCCTCCAGAATTATTTTTAAGTTCATCCTCAGTCATGTGTGCTGCACTTAAAGCTTCTGCTGCTGCCTTCCTTGAGAGCAGCCCTGATTTGGAAAGTCACTGACCTTTCCTTTTAGCAGTTGTGAACCTTTTGTTCTAGTAAACATGTTATATGGCTTTTGAGATAAGAGGTTTTCATTTGAGGTGAAATGCCCCATCACAGAGATTTTTGGATTGTAGAAGATATTCCCAAGGAAGATGGAAATCCCACTAAATGCCCTGTCCAAAACCAGACCAGGCAACACTTGAAAAGACTTTTGGGAAGGAGCAAATTTGTGTTGGTCAAACTACAATTGTTGGGGTTTTTTTCCCATGTTCAATTCCTGTCATAATTGATTAAATTACATATTTGTATTTCAAATTAAAGAGGAAAATCCTCATCTCTTCCCCTGCTGTGATCCTTGTGGAGGCAAAAATCCCCAGTGGTTCCTGGGCTGGTTTCCCACTGGGCTGATCAGTTCCTCCTTTCTGCCTTACCTGTGTTTGCTCCCTGCAGCTGGGCTGGTGTCACAAGCCATGCACTCCAATCTGCCAAGAGATTTTGCTTGTCATTAAGCAAAATCAAGGTCACTGATGTACAGCTAATGAGTTCTCCCACAAAATAGCCACAGTGACAAAGACATTAATAGAAATGCTGGGGTGGTGGCTGTGTACAACAGCCAGGGATCGCTGCAGGGAGGGGGCTGAGGCAGAAACTGAGTATTTGAGAAGGTTCCTGATCCATGTGGCAGCAGGGTAATGAGACACGGATCTGAGGAGGAGTTTTATGATTTCAGATGTCTTCTGACATTATCTGTCCATGCATTTGCTCAGTTGGAGACAGTGTGGCGAGACAGCTACAAATGCGGACATAAATTTATTTATGATTCCAGCCTGGCTTTGGTCCAGCGGTCAGATTTACCCAAATTCCTCTTGCAATCAGTGAGTTTGTGGCCTCTGGATATGCAGGCTGAGGAGCTGGGCAGTTGTTTTCAGTAGTGACATCATGTTTTGATCTATAGTCAAGCTGATGATTGAGCAAATAGATTTCCAGGCTTGGCTTTTGTCAGAGTAATCCCAGCAGGCTCAAAAGGAATGCTGCCCTGTGAGTTTACTGGCTCAGCTCTGCTTGACTTCTGATGGAGCTGCAAAAAAAACAAACAAAAAAAAATTCAAATATCCTCTGGTGTCAGTTTTCCCAATAGGCACCATTTTCACCATTTTCATTCAGTTTTCCCTCAGCCAGCAGCCCCTGCTGCCAAGGCTGCTGCTGTGGGTGAGTGTGAATGGAGAGAGCCTGCCAGCAAACATCTGACACGTTCTGCTCTCGCTGCTGTTCCTCCCCTGGCACTGACCAGCGCAGCAGGGACTGGCACCTGTGAGCTCTGTGTTCTCAGGGGCTCTCACCTGAGGCCTCCTGTGTTACAGGTGCGTGGGGAAGTGGCTCAGGTGTGAGATTATTCCACTGGAAGGTCTGGGATTCCTGTGCAGGGCAGCAGCTGAAAGCAGGGGCTGATAATGTGCAACATACCCTGAGAAATTTGGGCCCTGGTTTAAAAGAAATGTTTCCATTTTTCCATTTGAGGTTTATTTTTTCTCCAGAACCCCCAGCTTCTGTTGTCCCATCACGGGTGGGGTGTGTAAGCTCTGCTCTGGGGATGGAATGGCACATTTTGGTGCATGGATTGCCTCATTAAAGGATCCTTTAATGGAGCCTGGGTGCACTGAGGTGGGTTTGGTACCTCCCAGCAGGATTCTGCAGCCTTTCCCTGGAGATGGTGATAAAGAGTTGCTTGGTTTGCCTGGATCAAGTTTCATACCTCACTCTAGGCTGTGTCCTGTTTCACAGCTTTGGTTCTTCCACAGTGTGCTGGTGTTTTTGCTACACCTACACACTCAACAAAAGTGATGCCCTGGTTCAGACATGTGCTTGTGTTGCCTGTAATCAAAAGGAAAAAAAACCTTGTATTAGAATAGTAAAGTAAAAAGCTGACCTTTATTGGGAAGCTTCCAGGTGTCCTGCTGGTGATGGGAACACCCAGAACTGAATTTCTACAATTTTATAATGTTAATTAGGATATCTAACAGGTACATCCTATAGGAGATTCAGTTGCCCCAGTAACCTACCCCTGGGTCAGCCCCTTGGAGTTTGTCCAAGGGGTTCTCTGCCCCACTTCTTATTATTCCTTATTGTAGGTTCCCCTCCTTGGAATAAGACTAAACAATATTTCAGGAATGTGTTCAGAAGGTCAGCTTATTGTTCTAAAATCTAGAGGAAAAGGGTAGGAAAACTACTGGAGCTGCAGCCATGCATTAGCAATCCTCAAAGCGACAAATGTATGAAAAATATATAAAAAGCTTAAGCATCATTCCCTCCCTTTAGAGACTTGGCAATATAGAATTACAGGCAACACTTGTACTTTTCCTCTGCATTACCAGCTGAAAGCAGCTTCCCCTCTTATCCTGGGATGAGGCTTCAGCCGGGGGATGATCCTTCAGTGCAGGTGTGAGAAAGCTCAGCCTGGGAGCTGATCACTGCCCACAGCAGCTTTTGGGCTTAACTGCTGGCTATTACCTACCTGGCCGTGTTTGGTTTGAGCTTTAGTGCTGGCTATTTCTACCTGTCCATGCTGTGTTTGGTTTATTCTTAGCATCCAATCCCAGGCAGACACGGTGACATCAGCTCTCAGCAGGGCTGATTCTCTGACACAACACAAGGGTGCTCCTGGATTGCCTCTGCCGGTGTTTGCTCTCATTTTCAGCCGTGCCTGGGTTTGTGGGTGCTCACTGCAGGACCCCAGGCCCAAATCTTATGGATTCTCAGTGCTGCCTGCCAGTGGAGCAGCTGTTGGAACACACTGCAATTTTCAGTTTCTTGGTGCTGATGCTGAGAGGCCAGGTTAACCTCAGCCACCTCCCTGGGCGTGTTCACACAAGAAGCCTTTGGTTGGAGGGAGTGATGAGTCTGAAGGGAATGTGGTGTAAAATTGGTGTGAGCTGTCAGCGTGTCCCTGTGGCTCAGGGCAGGGAGGGGCAGCATGTCACCTATAATTCTATATTGCCAAGTCTCTAAAGGGAGGGAATGATGTTTTTTATATATTTTTTCATACGTCTGTAGCTTTGTAGATTGCTAATGCATGGCTGTAGCTCCAGTAGTTTTCCTGCCCTTTTCTGCTAGATTTTAGAGGAGCTGGCTGCAGGGGAAGAGCAGCAGTGGGCAAACTCACAGCTGTGTGCTGCCCTCCTCTTTCAGCACTACTGGAAGGGTTGACAGCAACATCTCGACACATCTGTCAGCCTTTCACTTCCAACAAAATGTTTGGAAAAGCCCTTTTGCCCCTGGAAGCCCTGGGCTGATGGCTCAGCTGCTGCTGCAGTGCCTCAGCCAGGTTTGTGCTGCCCCCTGAGCTCGTGCAGCAGCTGCAGTGTGGCTCTGGCTCCTGCTGCCCTCCTGGAGCTGTGGCTGCTGCAGGAGCCCCTGGTGCCCCTCCCAGAGCAGTGCCCACGCTGTGGGTGCAGGGGCAGAGCAGGCAGGGCACTGTGACTGAGTCTGCTCCTGCTCAGGCTGACAATGGGGGCTTTCTCTCCATCCTGCCTCCTGGACCACTGCGCAGAATGAGAATTAGCACTGGCGTGGAGGAATGTGTGAAATAAGCCCTGGATTCAGTGGTGGGAAAGTTGTCTGGCAGGAACTCCTCAAGTGACATTGGAATGCAGCCCCCTGCTCCCGTGGAGGCAGCTCCTGCACTGGAGAGAGGTTTGAGGGAGACAGGAGGGGTTTTGCTGCCACTGGGGGGTTCTCTGACGTGGAGAAGTGTTGATAACACTTGTACAGCCTCTGTGATCTGCTGCCCTCTGAACTGGCCCCTCTGGTTCCTTAGGGGCCACTCTGGTTTTGATAAAGTCAGAGCTTTCACACCAGGATCCCCTGCTCTTGAGCAGTCCTGCTGCAAGTGTTTCATCCATGTCACTGGAATTGTGGGCACATGAGGG